TAAACATTTTTTATTGAGTTATAATTAAACTATAACTTAATAAATACCCTGCAACCTGCCTTCACTGACTAAACTCTATTTATTTATTTATTTATTTATTTATTTACTGAGTTATAATCAGTTTACAATGTTGTGTCAATTTCTAGTGTGCAGCACAATCTTTCAGTCATACATGTATATATATATTCATTTTCATATTCTTTTTCACTGTATAAACTCACTTTAATTGTTCTTGCAAATTACATATCCTCCAAGCTCTACCTAGCTTAGACAGCATATCACAAAACCTTATAGATAAGGCCTCTGGAGGATGGGTCACTGTGGAAACAGTTGCTTAAGTTTTTTTTCACGAGCATGGAGCTAGTCTTGACCAGTTCAAACATGTCAAGAACACCCACCATTCAAATGGGCCTGCGTGAATGTCCACCCTCAGACCATGCTAATGCTACTATTTTCTGAATACGCATCCCATGAAGAAGCACATAACTGAGATATGCCTGTGGAGAACACAGACTTCTTCACCTTTCCTTTGCCTCTGATCACCATTCTCCACACCTAGGGCCAATCTCCTCCTTCTCCTCTAAGCCATAAATATCTGATGCCCTTCCCATTTAGGGAGGTGGATCTGAGACTAGTCCTCTTGTCGTCTTGCTTTGCTGTCTCACAAATAAACCCTTTTTCTGCTGCAAACCTCAGCGACTCAGCCTTTGGTTTTCTGCACTTGGGGCAAACGAAACTGATTCGGTAACAGTGACATGCTGTGACTGAAAATTGCAGTCACTGACCCCAACCAAAACAGCATTAAATTGGTTTCCATTTGAGATAATTGTCAGTTTGCTAAACGGAGTTGAGTATATCTTAGGATATCGAATAAGAAATGTTTTGTGGATAAAGGTATTCCTCAATGGGTAGGACATAATCACTGACTACTGAGGCAAAGCATAAGTTTTCTGTGGAAACCAAAGGCAGAGATCCTGTTTGTCGACCTGTTTCAGCGTGCCCTAACACCTCCTCTTCTTTATTCCCAGTCATGGCCCTTAACGGAGTCTTTTCCTTTTTTCTTAGCAAACCATAACAGAATTTAGAAAACTAATGCTTCAGGCTACATTCATTTGAATCGAGTAACACAATGTCTCCAGCTATGCATGGACTATTTTATGTCTTAATGACTCCGTGTAATGATATGGCCATTTAGATCAGTAGATTTGGGAGCATCTCAAATAACAATTTCATTCCCTGGGAGCACGCTGACCTTCAGGGTGTATGAAATTATGTCCTTCCCCAGCAGTTCACAACGAGGAAAGCCCCTCCCTCCGTCTCAGTAGGAGCATCACTTTCGAGTACCCCTAGGTACCGGATGGAGGACACTCTGGTAGTCAAAACCGAGAATACCATCCTGGGGCGGCTAGAGCGCTAGAAACTACATTACCCGGAAGAACCTGCGCCAAGTTGAGCCAATGAAGCATCAGAACAAAGGCATTTCCGTGCGTGCGCATCTCGTTGGGGCGGGACTTCCGGCGTCGTCCTCGAAGCGGCCATTTTTGCTGTTTTCGTGTGTATTTTGGCTCCGGAGCGCTGGACCGTGACTGAGGTGAGGGGACTACAAAGGTCCGAGAGGAGGCGCTATTCCCGCGGCACAGAGGCGACGCCGCCCCGGGGACCCCGCGCCACGCCCGGGATACGGACCCCCGCGCCCGCGTCCCCCTCCTCTCCCGCCGCTCCCGCTCTCAGACCCCGATGGCGGCGGCTGCGCTGAGGGACCCGCCTCAGGTAAACGCGCGTCCTCCGGGCCCGCACCGCCCTCTCCCGCCGGACACGAGAGCCGCGAGTGCGGGGCGCCTGCT